TTGAATTTCCACTACTTTATTCACCTTTAGTTTCAACATACTCCAATATGTTGTCTCAAGTCTAACTTTTCTTCCTTAGGTTTCTTCTATACCTCCTCTTAGTGAAGTGGTCCCAACTAGCAGACTCTTTTATCCAATTTCCAAATATCAATTATTTATTTTCTCTGATAGTATATCCTAAATCTAGAAGACTGCCCATGTTTGTGAGACCTCACTCCTAACTTCTATTATTATAGAGGTGAAATTTTATCTTCTCTACAAAATCCTCACTAACATAAAAGGAATCAAAATACAAAGACCAAAATTTAACTTTGGAATGAACTAATTCATTCACAAAGATCACCGTTTATAATCTAGCTTGAAATATCACAAATTAAATCTTTAGTCTTTTCTCTGAAAAAAAAAGTTTAGTTAGGTTGTTTAGATTGTCTTGTTAGTAAATATAAAACATTTGCAAAATGGTTTCTTGGACTTCTCCATCCTCACCCAAAGATACCAGAAAATTTTCTTTTTCCCCTTGTCTGGCACAAATCTTGAATCATCTTATATAAACTGCAGAAAATTTGTACTGCTTACTTTACACGATTTTTTCACAATTGCATAAATATATTCAAGTGCGTCAATAGTTTTAAAATGTAAACAAAAAAAAGGAATTTGAAATATCTTGTAATACAATAAACCATCACCAGTTCTAACGCCAATTCAGATACTGCTCACTTCAAACTCCTGAATTTTAAGAAATCAAAAAAGAGTTCCTTCTGCCAATCAGTGGTATGAACATGGCACAGTGCTCAACACATTCAAAATTCCTTTCCTTGGGTTGTCTCATTTGATTCCCAAAATAATTTCAGAAAAATTAAGTATCATTTATTCCATTAACAGAGCAAAACTTGCCCAAGGTGAAAAAGTGAAATAACTGAGTCAATACCCAAATTTTCTCTTTCTTTTCTCACCTCCAGCTGAACTTGAAAAACCCAAATTTTCTAACACTGAGTCCAACTTTTCTTGAATAGCTGACTCAAAAGGGCAGGCCAGGACAGTCCTCAAGTAGCACTGGCTTTCATCACTGTCATAATTATACAAAGTGTTATCTATTTTTAAAGCCCGTAGCAGAATCTAAATATAAACATATATGCCAATTCTCCTTTCTTCTATCAGAAAAGATTTTTAAATAGTTACACTGTCAGATGCTATTCTCAAATATAGCAAATTAAAGATTTTCTTCTACTAGAAACATGAAAGCATTTGTCACTGATTACAAATATCATTTATAGTTTTAACATTTTAATTTTATTTTTTAGAGACAGGCTCTCACTATGTTGCCCAGGCTGGTCTCAAACTTCTGAGCTCAAGTGACCAGCCCACCTTGGCCTCACAAGTGTTGGGATTACATGCATGAGTCACTGCAGCCGGCGACAAGTATCATTTATAATTTTTAAATAATGAATTACCAAATATTCAGTTGGTATCCTCTACTCACCGAGACAATGTTGTTTTCCCAGAACCAGGCAGACCTCTTAAAAGAATAAGTAATTTCTGTAATTTATTTAACTTTTCCTCTTGAAACTGCTGGTTCACAAACCTGTCTGTTCCGTTATGCTTGTCCATGCCAGGATCTTTCCAGTATCTTTCCCTGACTTCACAGAAACCATTACTCACATACTCATCTTGCATACTGCAGCCATTTCCAGAGGGATGAACACTACTCCTATTCTCACTACAGTCAGTATATTCATTGCTCTGATCAAAAGTCATACAATTCCAGTTAACATGACAATTATTTACATAATATCCATTTTGTATCTGAGAGTCATCTTGCGCTTGGAAAATATTTGATGGTAGATTTCGTGGAGCACTGAATCTTTGAATATTTAAATGATAGTTCAAACTGGGAAGAGGGGGACCATGGGGCACTATAAAAGGATGCACTGCCTGCCATTCAGGCCTGAAAGAAGTAAATGAAGTGTCACAAAATGTAGGTATTATTTGTCCATTACAGGGATATTTGCCTGTCTCATTCCCCAAATTCTGTTGATAATCACAATGTGATGGAAAAACATTATTACTAAGATCTTTCTTTTCTTCGTCAGGTTTTAAGAGACCATTATTATGGCCTTGATAAAATGGAATCAACTGTTCCTGAGAAGGTTCAGATTCTTTACAATTGTTCTCAAAATCATCTTTTTCCTTTTCAAGCTCTTCAATTTCTTTGTAAAACTGGAATAATTCATTGTCTATCTCTGATTTTTCAGAGTTAAATTTCTGTTTCTCTTTTTGTCCTCCTCTGCCATTTATACCATTTAGAGCATCTGCCTCATTCCTCCCTTCATTACGTTTCTTTTTCTCAGGGGGTTTGTAAATGGGTCCTATAAATGCTTTACTTGTGCTATATATCTCATCGTCTGTGGATACTAATGGAGGACGTACTTCCTGTAAAACCTGTGAATCAATGGATTCAATAACATCTGGTCGATTACCAGGCATCTCATCATGTAAAGGTCTATGTAAATCTGTAGTTTCAGTTTTGTTCTCCTGCAAATAACTTTGTCCTCTGACATCAATGACGGTCACAGGGACCCAATCATTTCCAGTTTTCTCTTGGATTCTGTGAAAATCGGCATTACTATGATTGTGAAAAACATATGCCTCTGTAGTTGACTTCAGTTTTTTACAGCGTGGTTCACTCGTTACTTCTTCTCTAGGTCCCAAGAATTTACCTTCAATTTCACCATAAGACATCTGAGAAATAAATAAATCATACAATTACTAGCTAATATATTAAAAACCTAAATAAAAATTTCTTCAAAAACAAGAAATTAGACATTTAAATTTGTGATATATTTAATGGTAACAATTTCCCAAAATACCAGAGTCAATTTTATAACCACTTATTATTTAAGTACAGTCATAACAGGGTGGTTTATGGGAGGGATCTCATTGAATATCCTTTAAAAAATATATACAGATAGATCTCAACTTTAAACGATCCATTTCTGAATTTGGAGGACCTAAAAGATTTAAATTTGTCTGAAAAGTTGAGTCAGTAATATATACTTTTATGATATAGATACACAATTGTGTATTTAAAAGGAGAGTGAAACTGCCAACACCAAATTAACACATACTCAAACTGGCTGACACACTGCATCCTAAGCATTTCCTTACTTAAAATCACTGTGTTTTGGAGAGTAAATAGCTCCAATTCCCTCCCAAACCTCAGACAACCAATCTCCTTAGCATCCAAATGTTAGATTAACTGAAATGCCAGTCTTTGGAGGCCCTTTACTGTGAGTAGTTAGTGTAAAAGAGGTTCCCAAATAGGTGTAGTGCGTTAATTTAAAAGGAAGGAAGAGATAAGTTGCAATGACGATAACGGAAATTCGTTTAATAAAGAAATCTGGCAACTCCCAAAGTTCAAAGCGTTCATCTTTTCCGAATAGTCTATCATGAAGACAAAATTTGCTTCCCTTTAGACCTGGCAGAGTGGCTCAAGCCTGTAATGCCAGCACTTGGGAGGCTGAGGCGGGCGGATTGCTGCTTAGGAGGTCGAGACCAGTCTGGCAACACGGCCTAACTCCGTCTCTTAACAAAAATACAATAAATTAGCCGGGCATGGGGGCGCGCACCTGTGGTCCCACCTACTCGGGAGGCTGCGGTGGGAGGACCGCTGGAGCCCGGGGCGGCGGCGGGGGGGAGGGGCGGCGGCGGGGAGGAGGTCGTGGTGAGCCGAGATGGCTCCACTGCACTACGGCCTGGCGACAGAGCGAGACCCCTTCTCGGGGGAAAAGAAAAAAATTGAAACACCTTAGGGACCTCAAAGTACAGCCCAGAGGCCTATTCCACCCAATTCTTCATTGTGCCACTCTCTGATGTTCCTAACACTAGAGAAAAAGAAATGGACAAAAAGGCGAACTAGAGAATGATGGAAGTAGGCCACAGAGCTGGAGGAGGACAACTGCGGAGAACGCCAACAGGCCTCCTCTCGGTTTCTCATTTCCCCATTCGAAATGTGTCGGAAAAGTCCCGAAGAAGAGCAACCGGGTTGCGTTCACGGAGCGTGGCCTATACACTATCCGAGCTCCACGACTCCAGACTTCCAGTGAGCGGCCCAGGCAGAAGTGCGTCACCCAGGTTTTTTGTCCCAATGGAGACATGCTCAGGTCCTGTCCAGGAATTCTGGAGGTCTCTGAGGCGCAAAAGTTCACACTGAGCTTGCTTCTACGTTTACAGCTAACCTAAAGGGTCAAGAAGTGAAAGCGAAAAACGCCACCACCACCCCACCCTCACTTCTAAAACGGGGTGTCTACTCACCTTACTCTACCCCTACGCATTGACCTTTACCTCCCAATAAAACCTTCTTCTTGTGAAGCCACGAACCTCTGTGAAGGTGAAAGAAAAGCGGAGACACAGCCCTAAAGCCGAGGTCTGGAAGAACTAAAACCCCAGCTCTCAGAATCGCGGAAACAAACGGCACCTCCGTACGCAAGATGGCGACCACCTCTCGGTTACCCAGGCCAAAACTGGGCTTTTGCGTCAGGCATTGTGGGAATTGAAGTCTGACGTTCACACCGGCTCCGTAAACCTCACGGCGCGGAGACTAGGTCTCCCAGAATCCATGGCGTGATAAACGCACTAATTTGGCAACTAAAGGAGACCGGAATTAGTTCCTAGACCTGGAGAAGGGAAGTTATCGAAAAACACCAACTTTAGTTAAAAGAAAGCAGCGACCTCCTCTGGCGTTCGCCCCCGAAGGAAAAGGGAATATGAGAACCTGGCGCCCGAAATAGATGTGTAACCGGCTCTCAGTGCATGCTTCTTAGGGCTTTCTAGAATACAAAGAGCCAGCTGACTTTTCCAACGGAACTCCACAGGTGGTATCACAAATTTGGATTCCGGCCGTTTCTACGAAAGACCACCTGACGTAATTTTAGGTTCATGCTTTTCTGTGGAAGGAAAGAATTACTGCGGCGCAGGTCCCCAATAACAGATAAAAATACTTATGAGCAAAATCGCTTAGTGTCATGTCGCTGTTTTGTTTTAGGAAATACAGACCGATCACTGAGCTTTCCCATTAAGAGTCAATATATGCAAAGCACGTAGGACAGCGAGCTCCTGGTAAGAATAAGCGTTATGTAAGTGTTTGTTACATTAAAAATAAATACAAATCAAACAACCGGCAGTCCTCAACTGAGGGCTTCTTTTCTCTTCCCACCACCTCTCCAACCCGTCCTTCCTCCACTGGTTCCCCATCCCCCATAATTTCAGGTCCTTGCAAGGAAAACTGATCATCTCTTCATCTTTAAGTAATTATTTCTATGGATATGTACCTTTTTCCATCTCCAACGTGTTAACAATTTCATTTGTTGTTAAAATTACAGTCTGGAATATCTACATTTGATTATTTAACAGCCTTGTGATCAAGGGAGTTCACCAACGCAACTCATCTTAGAAAGAAATCTATCTCAAATACAGATTTGTACTATGACCTTTGTCTTCTCATAATTAAAGTCATGCATCCTCCTTTGAAATAGCCACATTTACATGAGGTTGTGGCGTTCTCAGTGTGTTACATCCGCAGGCACACTATGCTCATTATAAAATAATATTAATCTTTGTCACCCCATCAAGGTATTGCCCTGTTTCTCCATGGCATATTTTCCCCCTTAAAACTAATAAGCAGCCGGGCACGGTGGCTCACGACTGTGATCTCAGCACTTTGGGAGGCTGAGGTGGGCGGATCACCTGAGGTCAGGAGTTCGAGACTAGCCTGGCCAACATGGTGAAACCCCATCTGTACTAAAAATACAAAAATTAACCGAGCATGGTGGCGGGCACCTATAATCCCAGCTACTTGGGAGGCTGAGGCAAGAGAATCACTTGAAGGTGGAGGTTGCAGTGAGCCGAGATCATGCCATTGTACTCCAGCCTGGGTGACAAGAGCGAACAAGAGCGAGACTCCATCTCAAAAAAAAAAAAATAAATAACTAATAAGCAATCAATCTGTGAGGTTATACTTTGAGACCAAGCAAATATCCTGCTCCTAATCAAACTTTACCTTATGATTCAGATTCCATAAATGTTGGGATTTTTTTTTTCCCCGCCTTCTTCAAGTCTTCCACATTTGTCAATCCAGATGCTGCTATAGAGCAGAACCCTACTTGTTTATTTATTCACTATCAGTATGAATTTTTGGATTTCTTTTGTTCAGGTGGTTATACTCCATTGCTGTCCTTACTTGTTTACTATTAATAGACTATTTTTAGGATGGTTTTAAATGCACATAAAAATTGAGCAAATGGTAGAGTTCCCATGTACCACATACACACACACACAGTTTCCCTTATTACTAACCTCTTACATTGTTACAACTAATGACCTAACATTGATACATTAACATTAACTTGTTATAACTTATTAGTTATAACATATTATATGTAACATTATTATGTATCAGTTATATATTAGTTATATAACTTATTCATTATTCAAATTTCCTTCATTTTTACCTAAATGCCCTCTCTGTTCCAGGATTCCATCCAGGATACCACCTTACATTTAGTTATCATGTTTCCTTAGGCTCCTTTTGGCTGTGACAATTTCTTGTCCATGAGGCATTTTATTTGTAAATATATGTATTACATCCCTAGAAAAAGAATCCCAGGATTTTCCCTCCGGTGTGTTTTCATCTTGTTTCTTCATGGTCTATGATGCCAGCTGAGGTTGTCAGTACAATGAAACCAAACTGGTGGGATGGAAGCAGATTATTCTGCCATTTTTCCAGATCTTTGAATTGCACATCAAATCTGGGGCTGATCATTCCACACTTCTTTAGCCTGCCTGTGAGGTTCACAACAATTTTCCCAGCTCTGTGATCATCAATGATTTCAAATTCACCAGTGTAACCATGCTTCATCATCACAGTGAGAAACCGGACGATGACTTTGGAGCAAGGCCTAATAAGCACCTGGCATTTGCCTGTTCTTTTCGGCATTGTTGATGCTCTTGAGAGCATCAGCCAGGACATTCATGTGCACCATTGCGGCGGTGCGGAAAGGTGGCGGAAAGAAGACCGGAGGGGAGAGTGCAAGGAGTTGGCTGCGACAATTTCTTAAATTTATTTTTTTAGTATCTTAAGCTTATTTTTGGTGACCTTGCTTTTTGTTTTGTTTTGTTTTTGACAGAATCTTGCTCTGTCGCCCAGGCTAGAGTGCAGTGGCACCATCTCGGCTGACTGCAACCTCTGCTTCCCAGATTCAAGAGATTCTCCTGCCTTAGCCTCCTGAGCAGCTGGGACTACAGGCACCCACCAACAAGCCTCGCTAATATTTGTATTTTATTAGAGATGGGGTTTCACCATATTGATCGGGTTGGTCTTAAACTCCCGAACTCAAGCGATCCACCCGCCTCTACCTCCCAAAGTGCTGGGATTACAGGTGTGAGCCACAGTGCCTGGCAGTCCTTGACAATTTTGAAGAAAACTGATCAGATATCTTGTAGCATATTCTTATGTTGGGATTTGTCTGATGTTTTTCGCAGCCTCCAGAACTGTGAGAAATAAGTTTGTTATTTGTTACTATTTTTATTTATTTATTAAGACAAGGTCTTACTGTGTCACCCAGGCTGTAATGTAGTGGCACAATCACAGCTCACTGCAGCCTTGGCCTCCTGGGCTCAGGTAATTTTCCCACCTCAGTCTCTTGAGTAGCTAGGACCATAGGCATGCATCACCATGCCCTGCTAATCTTTGCATTTTTTGTAGGGATGGGTTTTCATCATGTTGTGCAGGCTAAATTTTTCTTCCTTCTAAATTACCCAGTCTCTGCTATTTCTTTTATTTTCTCTTTCTTTTTTTTTTTTTTTTCTTTTTTGCCACTTCTACTAGGGTGTTTGTTTTGAGGCAGGATCTCACTCTGTCACCTAGCCTGGAGTGCAGTGGTGCCATCAGAGCTCACTGCAGTCTCAACCTCACGGGCTCAAATGACCTTTCCTCACTCAGCCTCCCAAGGAGTAGCTGGGACTATGGGTGTGTACCACCATGCCCAGACAATTTTTGTCCTTTTCGTAAAGACAGGGTCTCACTCTGTTGCCCAGGCTGGTCTTGAATTCCTGGCCTCAAGTAATGTTCCTGCTTTGGCTTCTCAAAGTGCTGGGATTACAGGCGTGAGCCACCGCGCCCCGCCCAGACATTTCTTAAAAGAAGACATGCAAATAGTCAATGCTTAATAGGGAAAAAGACAGTCTCTTCAATAAATGCTGTTGGGAGGCCCGATGTGATGGCTCGTATCTGTAATCCCAGCACTTTAAGAGGCTGAGGTGGCGCCAGGCACCGTGGTTTATGCCTGTAATCCCAGCACCTTGGGAGGCCAAGGTGGGTGGATCACCTGAGGTCAGGAGTTCAGGACCAGCCTGGCCAACATGGTGAAACCCCATCTCTACTAAGAATACAAAAATTAGCCAGGCATGATGGCAGGCGCCTGTAATCCCAGCTACTCAGGAGGCGAAGGCAGGATAATCACTTGAACCTGGGAGGTAGAGGCTGCAGTGAGCCCAGATTGAGCCACGGTACTCCAGCCAGGGCAACAAAGCGACCCTGCATCTAAGAAATAAATAAATAAATAAAATAAAGCCAGGACGCCCCTCAGGTTTGGTCTATCTTTGCATGTGCCCACTTCCTCCTTTGACCTTCCCTGCCGTATTTTGATGCAGTACAAAAGCTCTCACCAGAAGTTGTGCAGATGCTGGTGCAACGCTTCTTGTACAGACTACAGAAATGTGAGCTAAATTAACTTCCTTTCTCTATAAATTACCCAGCCTCAGCCTCAGATATTCCCTGATAGCAACACAAAATGGACTAAGTCCATAGTGTCATTAAGTAGGAAAAGAAAAGCTAGCAAGAGAAATGGGCCATGTAGTGAGTAAAGGGGGATAAGTATTGATGAATTCAGTTTTGCCCATGGTACATTTTATTTGCCTGGAAGATCACCAGATGGTAGTGTTGGGGATTTGTCTGGATTCAAGAGAGGAGTTGTAGATGAAGGTATTGGGAGTTTTTAGCGTGGAAGAACTAGTTGAAGCCTTGGGCTTAGCCAGACTGATTCAAGGAGACTACGAAGATTTCGTAAGAAAACTAGAAGGCTGAGATAAAAATTCTCAAGATCACCAATATTGAACAAGCAGGCAAGAAGAGGAGGCTACAAAAAAGAACAGAGAGGTGGGAGGTGAAAGTATCAAAAAGAAGGTGATGACCAAGAGCGTTAAATGCCCCAGGGAGAGGGGGACAACTAGGAATCCAAGGAACTGGAGGCGAGGAGCTCACAGGACGCACTAGTGAAGCAGTTTCCATGGCATGGTGGGAGTTGGAAGCCTCATTAAAGAAAGGTTTAACTGTGAGTAAGAAGTGGTTTTTTTTAGAGCATGGTTATGAGATTGTTATGATGTCTGTAATATAACAGATACATAATTTTTTATATAGACAATATCATATGTAAATGTGTGTTAAAGCCACATGGTAGGTGCAGCTAGCATTCTAATCAGTTGTTTATATGGGGAGTGGGAGAGAGTCAGCTAGCCTCATATCAAAAAGACTGTGTTCCAGAGGGAGTACAACCACCCCTTTAGCTATTTATACCTCCATCAACACTACTTTGCTCGTTAATGTCATAAATGACTTTTCAAAACTAATGGCTTGTAAATATCATGAAAGATATAAGAAATGGATTCTCAGTGGCGAAATTAAAAGTATTCAAGTTAAAATATTTTGGAGACACTCCCTACCTTTACTGAACAAATGATAAGAAGAGAATGAAGACTGTAGCCCACACCTGTTGAGATGACATTCAACCATAAGTCAGTAGGAATTCTGGTTGTCTGATATCAACTGTGAAAACTATAGCATCTGCCTGAAAAGAGCCTTTCATGCAGCGTAGTAGTCAGAGCACTAAAAGGACAAAGAACGGTCATGAGGCTTACTACGTAGGCTCTATAAGCTACTCTGTGCCTGCTTGCTAAACAAAAATGTTTAATGCATCTGTGAGACAGAAACTTGCTCTCAAGGTTGGAGGGAGAAGGTTTTTTTACTTCATTCTAACAACTGAAGGTAACTGTTGTCTATCAAAAAATAATCGTAAAAGTTGGGTTAATAAATTTGCAAGGTCAGCTCACAATAAAAATAACGAAGAGAGATGGGGCTTTGGCAGAAGATTTTAGGGCTATCTGTCGGTGCTATTGGCTGCTTTGCTTCATCTGAGGTGTCATGGCCTTACCATCCTAAAAGGCATACCCTGTTCACATTTGATAGAAGATTGATTTTATCATTGCTTAGATGACAGACAACAAAACTTTATAATTTATTCCCCCAAGGATGAGATCCCAGGAGTTAAAAAGTGATAGCAACAGCTGAATTACACTTTCGCAGCTGGTTGAAACGATAAATACGATGTTATGTTTATTTCACTACAATAAAAAAGTGATGGACCAAAGACCTAAGTATCAGACCTAAAATTACAAAAATCTTAGAAAATATGGGTGAAAAGCTTCATGATGTTGGTTTTGCCAATGATTTCATAGATAAGACACTAAAAGCACAGTCAACGAAAGAAAAAAAACGGGCTGGTCATGGTGGCTCACGCCTATAATCCCAGCACTTTCGGAGGTTGAGGCAGGTGGATCAACTGAGTTCAGGAGCTCGAGACCAGTCTGGGTAACATGGTGAAACCCCGTCCCTACTAAAAATACAAAAATTAGCCAGGCATGGTGGTGGGCGCCTATAGTCCCAGCTACTGAAGAGACTGACACATGAGAATCGCTTGAAGGCAGAGGTTGCAGTGAGCTGAGATCGTGCCACTGCACTCCTGCCTGGGCGACAGAATGAGACCCTGTTTTGCACTCCTGATTGGGTGACAGAGTGAAACCCGTCTCAAAAAGAAAAAGAAAAAATAGGTAAATTAGACTACATCAAAATTTAAAACTTCTGTGTATTGAAGTACAATCAACAGAGTGAAATGGCAACCTATGGAAATTTGGGAAGAAATATTTGCAAATCATGTATCTGATAAAGGGTTAATATTTAGAATGTATAAAGAACTGCTACAACTTAACAATAGCAACAAAACAACAACACAAACAATTTGATTAAGACATGGACAATGCTGGGTGTGGTGGTTCACACTTGTAATCCCAGCACTTGCAGAGGGAAGGCAGGAGGATCTCTTGAGCCCAGGAGTTCGAGATCAGCCTGGGCAACATAGTGAAACTTAGAAACTTTGTCTCTACAAATAAATAAAATAAAATTAGCCAGGTGTGGTAGTGCATGCCTGTAGTCCCAGCGACTTGGGAGGCTGAGGTGGGAGGTGGGAGTATTTGCTTGAGCCTGGGTTGTGGAGGCTGCAGTGAGCTGAGATCATGCCACTGGATTCCAGCCTGGGTGACAGGAAAAAAAAAGAAAAACTATATATATATAATTTTGTATAGCTTCTTTGGAGAAATGTCTCCAAATGGGCAAGGTCTTGAATATGTCTTCATACTTGCCCATGGTCTTTATATATCTTTATATGGGCAAGGTCTTGAGTAGACATTTCTCCAAAGAAGGTATACAAATGGCCAATAAGAACATGAAAAGATGCTCAGCAGACATCACAACTATAATGATATATTACCTCACACCCATTAGGATGGCTGCTATCAAAATAAAATTAAAAAAAAAAACCCAGAAAATAACAAGTGTTGGTGAGGATGCAGAGAAATTGGAATCCTTGTGTATTATTGGTGGGAATATGAAATGGTGCAGTTACTGTGGGAAACAGCATGGTGCATTGTCAAAAAAATGAAACACAGAGTTACTATGTGATCCAATTCCGCTTCTAGGTATATACCCAAAATAATAGAAAGCAGGGTCTCACAGAGATATCTGAACACCCACGTTTATAGCAGTATTGTTCTCAATAGACAAAAGATAGAAATAACCCTAGGACGCATTGACAGATGAATGTGTAAACCTAACATGCTATTAACATGCAATGGAATATTACCCAGCCTTAAAAAGGAAGGAGGCCAGATGCTATGGCTCATGCTGGAATCTTAGCACTTTGGGAGGCTGTGGCTGAAGGATCACTTGAGCCCAGGAGTTGGAGACTAGGCTGGGGAATGGAGCAAGACCTTATATCAAAAATTAAATTAAAAGGAAGGAAATCTTGTCACATGCCACAATATGGATAAACCTTGAAGGCATTGTAGTAAAATAAGCCAGTCACAAAAAGGCAAATGCTGCCTAAAATAGCCAAACTTACAGAAACAGAAAGTAGAATGGTGGTTGTCAGGGGCTGAGGGAAGGAGGAAGTGGGAAGTTGTTATCTAATACGCACAGAGTTTCAACTTTGCAAGATAAAAATTCTGGAGATTTGTTTTGCACAGCAATGTGAAACGTATTTAACACTACTGAACTGTATACTTAAAAATGGTCAAGGTGTTAACATTTTTATGTGTATTTTACCCAATTTTTTTTTTTACAAAGTCATAGTGACAGGGAGATCCAGTAATAGAAAAATAGATATTTTCAAGTACTTGAATAAAAAGAAAATTCTTTGAAGGAAACTAAATGAAAAAAAATAGGATTACACTTAACAATTTTTTAACTGAAAACATTGGGGAAAAATTGCTGCAGAGATTATTAGAGAACATTTTCTGCTCCTAATGTGTCTCTTCTGTTAACTTTCCTGGATAAGGGGATAAGGAGGCTGCCCAGTCTAGGAAATCTTGGGGTTCCACTGTCTTTAAGGCAGTGATATTGGTGTCTCTTCTGATATTTTACTTCTCAGGATGGTTCAGAGTCCAGCCGCCTCCAAGCCCTAGCAGTAAAGAAGATACATGCTGTTCAAGGAGGCTTTGCCTTGAGGCATGTGTTATAAATTACTCTTAAGAATCGAATTTCGCCCTTTTCCTTAGATGTCATAAGAATGAGAATCTTAAAACCCGGAAAAATTATCAATCATCAGTAAACATGAGAATTATTTTCATTTGATCAAAAGGCAAGCTAATGATGGTTTTCTTCCAGCCCACTCTTGGACACCACAGGTTGGGCTGGCTGCCTGAACGTGCACCTGATTTTCAACTCAGAGACCCGTGCTCCAAAGGGTAAATACACAATGTCTTTGCTTTATGGATTTTCCTGTTAACAATTATAAGGGAAACAAAATGTACCAAGAGGACAATTCCAGAGGTTTCACATTTCCACAGTGTCACAGCAATGTTCCTTCTCCTGTGCAGTTACAATGCCCCCACAGCAATGGCCACAGGATCATCTCAGCCCTGTCTGTTTTCCCTGGAAGGCCCAGGTTGTCAGGTGGGCAGGCCTCATTTGTCCTTGACTTCTGCCCAACACAGGTATCAGAAGAGGGAATTTCCACAAAGAAGTTGGTCATCAAATCATGGTGAAATGTACTTCCCAGCACCAAAAGACTGGAAGGGCAAACGTATGGTGTAATCTCGTTTTGTGAAAGGAAGGAGGAAAAGGAAACGAAGAAGCAAAGAAGAAACATCATATATGTGTGTACATATTTGTAGAAACTTGAAAAGTGATGTAGAAGTCGACAATCTATGATGCAGACGGTGCTTGCCTTGAGAGGAGTTTGGTGCAACGAGGACTGGCAGGGAGGTGATTAACTTTTTCTTTATGTATCTCTGTATTTTTGACTTGTTACAAGAATATATTAAATGCATTTTTACAAGTTCAATTCCATTCTGTAGCATTGTTTTATAGTGATCGGATGAAAATTATTTAACTATTTTTGACATGAACACATGCAAATCCTCCTAAAGTTAAATTTATTCACTTATTCTCTGCAAGACATACTTCTACTTTAAGCTTAGAATCAGTATCATTTATGGCTAACAGTGTGGATTCCAAAGGCAGATTTCCTGGTTGCAAATTGGGGCTCTCCCTCCTACTGGCTATATGACCTTGAGCAAAGTACAAAACCCTTGTGAGCCTTGATTTTTTAGCTTGTATAATGGAAATGATAATAGTTCTACTTCACAGGACTGCTCAGGAGATTTAATGAATCAGATATGTAGTGCATTTAGAATAGTGTCTGGCAAACTGTATGTCAGTTATTTTTAAGTTTTCTGTGTGGAGAACCTATCATTTATGAATCTAGATTATAGAAGCTGAGGCTCTTGCAATATTTGTTATTGCCATGGTGCTAAAAATCTCTGTAGTAATATACTTGTGCAAAATGCACATAAAACTGCTATGTACTATGAATTTTAAGTAACAATTATACTAAAAGCTTGAATATTTACTAGGATGTTTAAATTATAATGAAAGAAGATTTTCAGATTATAGTACATGTATAATAAATATGGAGAAAGGAAGACAGCAAGTACACCTTTACATTAAAATCAAAGCTGTCACAAGGGCTGGATGAGATGGCTCATGTCTGTCATCCCAATACTTTGGGAGGTCAAAGTGGGGGGATCCTTTGAGCCCAGGAGTTCAAGACCAGACTGGGCAATAGAATGAGACCCTGTCTCTACAAAAAATTTAAAAACTCGTGAGGCACAGTGGCATGCACCTGTAGTCTCAGCTACTTGAGAAGCTTGTTGGGAGATCACTTGAGCCCAGGAGGGACTGCAGTGAGCTGTGATTGCACCAGTGCACTCCAGCCTGGGCAACAGAGCAAGACCCTACTTCAAAAATAAAACAGGCCAGGCACGGTGGCTCACACCTGTAATCCCAGCACTTTGGGACACTGAAGTGGGCAGATCACTTGAGGTCAGGAGTTCAAGACCAGCCTGGCCAATATGATGAAACCCCGTCTCTACTAAAAATACAAAAAAATTAGCCAGGTTTGGGGGCAGGCGCTCATAATCCCAGCTACTCAGGAGGCTGAGGCAGGAGAATCTCTTGAACCTGGGAGGTGAAGGTTGCAGTGAGCCGAGGTCACACCATTGTGCTCCACTCCAGCCTGGGCATTGCAGTGAGACTCCATCTCAAAAAAAAAAAATTAAACAAAACAAAACTGTGTCACAAGAAAACACCAATGGGTGCTTAAGGATTATAAATGTGTCCAGCACTTTTCTGGCTACTATGGGATGAGCCGTAGGGGATCCTGGTGGGTACAGAGATGTGGATGTGCTGAGGAGGCAATAGTGGGTAGGTTTGGTGCTACCTTCTAGAACACTTCACCACATTCTTCTCCACAACTATAAGGGTGGAAACAGGCTTTTAACACAACCAGGCAAAAGACATTGCTCATAGACTTTTCTTTCCTGCATGAAGTAAACAGGTCTTTCCCCCCTAAACTTTGTTCCCAATTTTTGTGTGTTTTTTGTTTTAATTTTTAAAATTTTTAATTAATTATTTATTATTATTTTTTGTTGGTTATTCTTTCCCTTTTAGATCATGTCCTTAGGAACATGGCTTTTCTCTGTCTCTCTCTGTTCTTTTTTGAGACAGAATCTTGCTCTGTTGCTCAGGCTGGAGTGCAGTGGCACAATCTTGGCTCACAGAAACCTGCAGCTCCTTGGTTTATGTGATTCTCCTGTCTCAGCCTCCTGAGTAGCTGGGACTACAGGTGCCCGCCACCATGTCTGGCTAATTTTTTTTTTTTTTTAGTAGAGATGGGGTTTCACCATGTTGAACAGGCTGGTCTCGACCTCCTGACCTCAAGTGATCCACCCACCTCTGCCTCCCAAAGTGCTGGGATTACAGGTGTGAGCCACTGTGCCCAGCCACTTTTCTCTTCTTCACCCTCACCTCTTCACCATGACCTTTCCTTCATCATCCCCATGCTTGATCTTTCTACAACATTTATCACTCCAAACAACAGGGTCAACCGCCACTGCCCCCCCTCCCTGATGCTCTCTTCTTCTTCTTCTTTTTTTTTTTTTTTTGAGACAGAGTCTTGCTATGTCGCCCAGGCTGGAGTGCAGTGGCACAATCTCAGCTCACTGCAAGCTCCGCCTCCCAGGTTCACACCATTCTCCTGCCTCAGCCTCCCAAGTAGCTGGGACTACAGGCGCCCACCACCGCGCCTGGCTAATTCTTTGTATTTTTAGTAGAGGCGGGGTTTCGCCATGTTAGCCAGGATGGTCTTGATCTCCTGATCTCATGATCCACCCACCTTGGCCTCCCAAAATGCTGGAATTACAGGCATGAGCCATCACGCCTGGCCCCTGATGCTCCCTTCTAAGGCACTTGCCTGAACTTATCTTCCTATTTCTCACTCCATGCAGTGGATCTCTAGAGCCCCTCATCTTTGAACAGACATGCTATGGACTGAATATGTCCCCTCCCAAACGTATAAGTTGGAACTCAATCATCAATGTGATCATATCAAGAGGTGGGTCATTTAGGGAGTGATTAAGCCGAGGGCAGAGCCCTCATGAATGGTATTAATCCCCTTATAAAACACGTGCAAGGGAGCTGTTTACCTCTTCTACCATGTGAGGACACAGCTAAATGGCACCATACATGAATGAGGAAACAGGCTCTTGCTAGACACTAAATCTGCTGGTACCTTGATCTTGAACTTCCCAGCCTCTGGAACCATGGGAAGTAAATTTCTATTATTTATAAACTACCCAGTGTAAAGTGTTTTGTTATAGTAGCCCAAACAGACAAGAGGCACACACAAGTTTAATCTTTTAAAAATGTTTTATTTATTTAATATTTAAATATACATACACACATTCATGTCATTTAAAACTCAAAGGTACAAAAGGGTATTCTGTGATAAGTCCCTTTTTACCCCAGTCTCTCCTGAAAGCAACTGTTATGTCTTATGTGCTCCTTCCAGAGACATTTTATATACATATACGTATATGCCTACATATTGTATGTCTGTATATATACACATTCATGTGTATAATACGCATGTGCTATTTTCCCCTTTTTTTCACATAGTAGCATCAGCACATCCTGTTAAGGATCTTACTTTTCTTAAATCACAATGTCACTCAAAGATAATCCTATATACATGCAGAAAGAACTTCCTCATTCTTCTTTTCCACTGCACAGTATTCCATTGTGTGAATGTATCATAATTGTTTAGTAAGTCTTCTATCGATGATCATTTAAATTGTTTCTAATCTTTTGTTTTTACAAATATGTCAAAATATAGTTCTGAGATTCCTGTTTTTCTCATTCCGTATCTCCCTGCCCGCTCTCCCCACTGACCAAACAACTCATTCTATTATGGCTTTACTGATCACCAGGCACTAGACAACTGACAACCAATTTATCTCCTGCTCTGTTCTCTTTTGTAAGCTCAAGTCTCACATTCTCAACTGCCTATAGAAGAATCTACTCCGTTAGACTAAGCATATCCAAAGTAAAAAATAATCCTCCCCTCCTACTCTGTCCTGCTTGTGCTAATTTTATCTGAGGTGCATAGCACTTATGCACAATTCCCCTCACTTATTCACACTCACTCATGCTGCTGCTGTTGCCATGTTTTCAATGTCCCCATATACAGTCCATAACCACCTACCATCCCAGAAACAAAAAACTAGAGTTGTATAGTTATGGATGAAGATAACTAAGAGCTCATCAGATTGCATGCATGAGCACCCATCTTGAAATGCCATTTGAGCACCTCACACCCATCTCATCACTGAGAACCTTCAAAAAATATTCTTGCATGTTTCATACAGATTCACTCATCTTTCATTTCCTTCAGTTTTAGAGACCTAGCCAAGCTAAGGGAATAAATCAAAATCAACTGATAACAAGGGTGAGGTTTCTGAAACTGAAACATCCTGTTAATGTGGCATAAGACCACCTCCATAGGCAGTCTTCAGGTATAAGGCCATGAATCTTTAGGTATAAGGCCTAACACCTGTGGCATGTAGTGATGCAGGATTTTTCTCTTCCTTATAGTCCCATGAAATAGAAAGTTTGTTTAAGAGACGAAGTGTTCACCACAGTAGAATGTTATAACAAAGTAAATGAGAACAACAACCCTAAGGCAGGGAGGCTACTGCTCACTGCTCAAGCATCTGCAGCATACTCCTGAGGGGACACATTAAGTCAGCAGAGACACATTTCCCAAAATAAACAGGGAGGGAAATATAGATGGAGGAGACATAGTGTGGAGGCTAAAGTGACTCCATCTTGGAAGCTCATCCACAATGTTGACTTCTGATTAACACTGGTCCCTGGAATGCCTCTAAGGTTTCCATTTTATCTATTGTTCTTTGTGTAAGAACATATGCCTACCATAAATCCTGCATTTTGATCAAATTATACATCTGCCTTTCTTCATGGTGTATAATCCCTGAGTCTGGGGGATAATGGTGTGGAGATCTATCTGTTTCACAGCTTCCTAAGACCAAGCTTCTGTCCCTAAGTTCCCAAATAAAATCACCTTATAACAAAGTGAAATTTGTCTGCCTGCTTCTTAATTTTCCTAGCTCCTTCTATGTTTGGGGGTCTCTTTGCCTATACAGCCTTTTCGTAAAACACACATGAAAGCAGAAAGACCCAGTGCTGGATGCCTAGAGCTAGAAACCTTAGCTCTAGGTTTTTAAGCTCTAGAGCTTATATATCTTAAATATGGTTGTCATTGTGGAAAACAATGTGTCGATTCCTCAAAGGCCTAAAAACGGAAATATCGTCTGACCCAGCAATTCTACTACTGGGTATATACCTGAAGGAATACAAATTGTCTTATTATAAAGACACATGCATGCGTATGTTCATTGCAGCACTATTTGCAATAGCAAAGATATGGAA